GGACAGTTGAAGTACTGAGGAGAAATCACTAAGAAATTGTTAATAATAATAATAATAATAATATGAAGTGATATAAAAATATAGCAAATGAAGTTTCAAAATATAATAGAGGACTGAAATACATAAATATGTCACAATATATATTTATATACTGTATATAAGGCCCCTAGAACCATAAGAAGTGCAAAAAAAAATCACTGTTAATAACTCATTCTCGATTGCCTCCCCCAACCCACCTCCCTGACTTAAAAATTAAATTGCTCCCTTGTGGGGCATGTGCCCAACATTGGGAGCCACTGCTTTAAGCCATAATGGCTTACAAAAGTTTCATAGGTATACTTTACTTTCGAATGGCGATGGAGTGAGGGTGGGGGTGGAAACCTGCATTAGATCATATGCTTTCTCCCCATCCTAGAGAAATTCAAAACTATTTACTCCTGAATATATTGTTAGGCACTGTTCTAGGTGCTAGAGCTGACAGTGATCAAAGCAGATTAAATTCCTGTCCTCATGAAACTTACATTCTAGTAATAAAGACCAAGAAACAAGTAAACAATTAAATATAATTCAGGTGGTGATAGATGCTATAAACAACAACAACAACAAAACTTATTAATTCATCCATACACTGAAAAAGAACCTTCTTTTTATAAGTTATCAGGCTAGGTGTGATTAACCAGATTTTAGCCTAAAAAGACCCTAGCATAAAATCTAGTACACAAACAACACAAAAAGAAGTGCTACATCCTGGCTGGTGTGGCTCTGTTGATTGCAGCATCTCCTAAGCACTGATAGGTCTTGAGTTCGAGTCCTGTCCAGGGCACATACCCAGGGTATGGGTTTGATCTCCAGTTGGGGTGCCTATGGGAGGCAACTGATCAATGTTTCTCTCTCACATCAGTGTCTCTCTCTCTCTCTATCTATCTATCTATCTCTATCTCTAACTCTATCTCTATCTCTCTCTCTCTTTCCTTCCCTTCCTCTCTATCTAAAATTGAAGGAAAACATGTCATCGGGTGAGGATTTTTTTAAAAGTGTCACAGAAAAATATTTATAAAGCACTAAGTTCAAAGTAGAATGAGATTATTTCTAATAAGAACATCAAATACAAAAAAAAAAAAAAAATTAATGAGGCCCGAAGCAGCAGCAGCCAGGTCCTGAGCGGCCGGGTCCAGAGCAGCCAGGTCGGAAGCAACCAGGCCCGGAGCAGCAGCAGCCAGGCCGGGAGCGGCGAGGCCCGGAGCGGCCGGGCCTGGAGCAGCCGGGCCCAGAGCATCCAGGTCGGGAGCAGCCAGGCCCGGAGCAGCAGCAGCCAGGCCAGGAGCGGCAGTGGCCAGACCCGGAGCAGCTGGTTGTGGAGCGGACCAGAACAACAGAGGCCAGGCCCGAAGCAACCAGGCCCGGAACAGCTCGCTCCTCGCCTGCCCCCGCCCCAGGGCTGCCTCTCAGACATGGCTGGAAACTTTTGGGGGAACCTGAGGGTCTGCTGAATCAAGTGATGAAGGCTTAGATCTGGATGTGTTGAGTTAGTATAGCGCTGGGGTGTTGATCTGTGAGTGCCTTGTGTGGGGCCTGGATGAGGTTGGTTGATCTATTTGGAAATGTCTTCTGTGCGAAGTGTATCCTTGAGCATATGGAGGTATTATTGATTTGAGAAAATGCTAAGTAACTGATTCACTATCCGAAAAACTTAAAGTTCTGAAAGTTTAAGGTCTCTTGCCAAAAAGAGGTTTTAAAGCTAACACCTTAATTTTAATGGAGAAAGGGGAGGACAAGCCCTTCCCACCCAGAACAGGTAATCCAATTCCAACCAGCAGCTATCTTTATTTATTTATTTATTTATTTATTTATTTATTTTTAAAATAAATTTTTATTGTTCATATTATTACAAATGTTCCTTCCCCCCCCCTCCATTGCTCTCCTCCACCAGGTTCCCACCCCACCCTGTACCCCCTCCCCACCCCATTGTCCTCATCCATAGGTGCACAGTTTATGTTGTCTCTTTCCACATCCCCTCTCCCCTTTTCCCCAAGAATCGTCAGTTCACTCCCCTTCCATACCTCTGATTCTATTATATTCAACAGTTAATATTGTTCAGCAGATTTTTTTTTAATTTCCTTGGTTTTTAGATTCACTTGTTGATAGTTACATATTTGTTGTTCATAATTTTTATCCTTATTTACTTTCTCTTCTGAAAGAACCCCATTCAGCAGTTTATATAATTCTGGTTTGGTGGTGATGAACTCCTTTTAATACAAAGAGGAATGTATATTATCTATGGCTAAGTAATAAACTAAGCCAAAACCTAGCAGCTTGAAACAACAAACATGTATTATCACTTTGTTCTGTGAGAGGGCTGGGCCCTCTTGCTAAGGTATCAGCTAAGGCTGCAGTCATCTTGAGGTTCAACCAAGCAAAGTCAGCTTCCAAGCTTAGTCATGTGATTATGGGCAACCTTCAGGTTCTCCCTGGCTGCTGCCAGACACATCAGTTCCAGGACACATGGCCCTCTCCATAGGACAGTCCAAAGATGGCAGCTTATTTCCCTCAAAGCAAACAAGGGAGAGAAGAGGGAGCAAGATGCAAGCCATTTTGTAATCTAGTCCTGGACGTGCCAAGCCATCACCTACGCTTAATAGAATATCACTAGGTTCAATCCTCATTCAAGGAGAGAGGATTAGAAATGTGCAGGAATATTAGGAGGTGAGATTCAAAGGAGCTATCTTAGAAGCTGGCTACCTTAGGGAATAATCAGTGGTAAAGATAGAAATATAGGCTAGGGCCAGATCAAAGAAAGTCAACCTGAGAACAAAACTATGCGGATGGAAATGGAAGGTAGAAAGAAGCAAATTTAGTCTTTAAGCCCAATTCAGGGAAATGGAGATGTTGGATAAATAGAATTTTAAGAATCATCTTAAAGATCAGCTGTTTAACAAGTTGGAACAGTCCACTGAACTCCATAGCCCTCAGGAAACAAAACCACTCTGTTTTATCAGGTGGTAACAGTCAAATAATTATACAGAAGATAACTATCGGCCTTCTAACCGTCTACCTTGACAATGCATTCCTGAAAATTCAGTGTTGACAACTAGTATTTGTGGCTACTTTTCCTGTCTTAGGATAGGTTTGCTCTTAGTAGCTTTCAAAATTCTTTGATAACAACCCATAGTGAGAAATACATTTTATGTCATAACTGAGAATATTTACATACTAGAGGCCCGGTGCATGACATTCATGCACTGGGGGGTCCCCGCCCCCCCTGGCCTGCCCCTGGGGAATAGTGGGCCTAAGCTGGCAGTCAGACATCCCCCAGGGGGTCCATAGTGCTGCAGCCGCTGGGCTCACCAATCATGAGCCAGGCTTCACCAACCATGAGTAGTGATCCCCACTGTGGGAGAACACTGACCACCAGGGGACAGCCACTGCATTGAGAGTCTGCCCCCTGGTGATCAGTGTGCGTCATAGCAACCAGTCGTACAGCCCGGTGGATTTGCACATTAGCCTTTTATTATAAAGGATGCATGCATGATCAAATTAAAGTTTTACAGAATAGTAATTAGCATCACCATATATGGCATACTGATTGTTTTTAATTCTATGCATTAAAGAATAAAAACTCATGGTAATCCATTGAATTCATCACTCTCTACCACTCGGTAGTTTGAAAACCGCTGCTCTTCTAAAACATTAGCTTGAACATAAAACAAAACCGTAACACTTCTTACCAATAAGCCTTTAGTGCACTGTCGCAAAAAGTGGGTAAGGGCCCTGTTTCCCATGCAATCTAGCCCAAAGCATAACAGCAAAACCCCAAGCACATCAGGCCTCAGTTGGAAGCCACTTGAATTAGATATGCCCCAGGTTGGCCTTCAAAAGCATGAATCAAACAACCATTACAAAAAGACAGTTCGACACCTCCCACTCCTGGCATTGAAAGCAAAAATTGTCGTCATACCCAACCATTTCCTCTGTGCCCTGCCCAATCCTCTCCTCTCCCAGGTCCACAAAAGGAAAGGAGCAGTAGGTCAAGCTCGTTTGTTGATTAATTCATTCAACAAACATTTATCTCTCCTAAGAGGCCTTTTATTTCCAGCAAAGGACGGATCCTGCCTTTCTGGCAGCACCCAGCATTCCACAGCGGAGGGGTCCTCGGAGATGCCTGGCTCAGCAAGACACACCATGACTGGGACAGAAGTCTCAGGCCAGCATCCCAACGGAGGCAGTGCCTTTTGTCAATTCAGGGAAAGAAAGGCGGGGAGGGCGAGAGGTGCTCTCAAATTGTGGGGACTCCTGCCACCTCTTTAGAATAGCTGCCCCTTCTCCCCCAACCGGGAGCCCCCTATCTAGGGATCTGGCTTGCTGTTCGGGATGTAGCTTTTCAACCCTTGTAGGGTTTTCCACGTTCATACCTAAAGGATATCCCCAAACAGAGTCGCCTCCCCAACTAATCGGGGATAGTGCTGAAGAGTGAAAGCAGGTCTAGACGAAGAGGAAAGGAGAACGGAACCTGACCACGGAAACAATCTTGCTGCCGGCGTTAGCCTAAATTTGGAAGAAAAAAAAACAAAACAAAAAAACCCATGGAAACCATAATAATAACAAGCAGGAAAGGGTTGCGTGCTGGGAATGGGTCCCCCAAAATGCCTTGAGTTTAGAAAGCAAACTGCTGGGAACACGGCCCGAGGGGAAATTGAAGAAGATTCCTTAGAGACAACCGCGTAGGTTGGCCACCAATCCCGGCAGACATGGACAGGGAACCCTGGGCGGAGGGGATCCCCCAGGCTGGCCGGGGACCCGGGGGGAGAGAGGGGGGTTTGGCATTCCGGGAGCGCGGGGGGCGCCGGCGGGAGGGCGGGAGGCGCGGGCGGGCAGGGGGCGGGCCCTGCGGCCGGGGGCGGGCCCAGGTGGGTGTTGATGCACAAAGAAAAGCACCCGGAGGCCGGGCGGCCCCGCCCACTGACGCGTCCTCGGGGTGGCCGCTATAACCCGCCGTTCCCCGGCCACTCCGGAGTCTCCATACCCGCTGTCCCGGCGCGCCTGGCCCCGCACCGCCCCCGCTGCCCGGCCACGCGTGCCCGCACACCCTCGCGCCTTTCCCCCGAGACGGCGGACGGACGCCGCACGATTAGGGAGGCAACTTGCCATTTCCCTTTCTTTTTTTTTTAATTAAAATTATTTTTCCTGCTTATTGTTAGGGGGGAGGAGAGATTTTTGTTTTGTTTACAATTTTTTGTTTGAGAAAAAAACCCCACTGGAGGAGTTTGCGTGACATCCGGGATCTAGAAGCGGAGACCACCGAGGTAACAGCGCGGGGGGGACGGCGCGGGGGGTCCCCGCAAAGGGCGCGAGGCCCCGGCGGGGGTGGGGGAGGGGGACGGGCCCGGCGGGAAGGCAGCTGCGAGGGTCGTTTCCTCCCCCGGAGAGAGGCGCTTATATGGTGATCGGGGCCGGCCTTGCCCCCGGCCTTACCCCCGGCCCACCAGCGGGATGGTGGGGGGAGAGGGTGGCCGCCCACCTTCGGGCCGGGGAGGGGTGCGCGGCGCGGGGGCCTCGTGCCCGCCCGGAGCGGAGCCGCATTCTCCCGTTAGGGGGAGGGGAGCCAGCCGGGCCCGCGTCTCCTCCGCTGCGGCAAGTCTTGTGACTGGTTTGCATGAATAAAAATCATCACATCCAGGGTGTTCTGGCATTTGGGGGGCGCGGAGGAGGTGGGTTTGGATTTCCAGGGTAGCCGAGGCGGCCACGGTTTGGGGAAGACGGGCGGGCTGGAGAGGACGTTTGACAATCGGAGATCGATATTGCATCAGTTGCCTTTCCGGGCATAGGAGGGGCCGGCGGCGCCAGCAGAGCCCGCTCGCCAGCCACATGCCGGCGGATGGGAGTGCGGACGGCAGTGCTCGAGGGCACGGGCGCGCGGTGTCAACACAGCCGCTGCGCTCCCGGGGACGGTCCCTCTCCCCGGCTCCACCGAGCCTCCGCCTGCCCTCCGCGCCCCCTCGGGGGGCTCGCGGCCGCAGTGGCATCCCCGCTCTGGGGGCTCCGGGAATGAGAGGACGGGTTCCGCGGCTCTGCTGTCCTAAATGCTGCGATCGGGGAGCTCCGGGTGCGCCCGCCCGGGCGGCATGCATGCACACGGAGCCAGCGCCTGGGTGGGCTGTGCGCCCGGCGAGTCTGAGCACGACCCGGGGAGGGTGGGGAGGGAAGCCACAGACCTCCTCCCCGCACCCCTTCCCCGGACTTGGGGTCACGGAGAGGCTGAAATACTAAGATCTGCTGCGGGGCTCGGGGGTCCGGGGGGCGCGGGACCCGAGCGGGCGCGGCGCCGCCGCGGTGGGACCATCTTTGTTCTCCGCGGCTCGCCCGCCGTCGGTACTTTTCCGCCCCTCGGCGCGCCCCCGCCCCGCGCGCGCGGCTGGTACTTTTCCACTCGCCGGGCGGGGGCCGGAGCGGGGCGTCACGTGACCCGGCGGGGCGGGCGCTGCGGGTCCTGACGCGCCGCCTCTACCTTCGCCCGCAGGCAGGCAGGCAGGCAGGAGGGCGGGCGGACTGACGCCGGCGGTGCACCGCGAAGGACAAAAGGAGTCCAGTGTTGCTCGAAGCATCGGATCCCTCCCGGCGCCCAGCATGAAGAAAGCCGAAGTGGGCAGGTTCAGTATTTCCCCGGATGAGGACAGCAGCAGCTACAGCTCCAACAGCGACTTCAACTACCCCTACCCCACCAAGCAAGCTGCCCTGAAAAGGTGGGAGAAGTTCTGTCCTTTAAAAAAAAAAAAAAATGCGGCTTGTGCTTCTGATTCTTTAAATTACTGTGGCATTTGGAGAGTGATCTGTAGCATTTGGAGAAGGATGTGTAGCATTTGGAGAGTGATCTCTGAAAGAGCTTGGGGCTGTCTTAATTGCAGTGACAGTATCTGGCGTGAAAGTCGACTCCTACTTAAAACTTAAGCATGTAAATAAAGGTGTGTGACAACGAAAGCGCTGTTTTGTGTTAAAGCATCCTCTTGTCTGTTTCGATCGAACTTAAGATTTTTTTTTTTCTTTCTTTCTTTTTTTGCAGCCATTATGTAGATGTAGATCCTGAAAACCAGAACTTTTTACTTGAATCGAATTTGGGGAAAAAGAAGTATGAAACAGACTTTGTAAGTTAAAAGTAATAAATAATGTGTGTGTCTGTGGCTTTAATGGAGTGAAAGAATAGTTTTTGCTTTTAGATTTCAAATCTAAGTTGCCCACAGCTGGTTTTCTCCATTTAATTATTGTTATATGTTTGGTTATCGTTTTCCCTCTATGTAGCATCCGGGTACTACTTCCTTTGGAATGTCAGTATTTAATCTGAGCAATGCGATTGTGGGCAGTGGAATCCTTGGGCTTTCTTATGCCATGGCTAATACTGGAATTGCTCTGTTTATGTAAGTATGTGTAAGTAGTGAGTCTGCCATGCAGGGCAGTTAATACGATGATACAATGCGTTTTGGTCCCAGAAACTAACTTGAAATTCATTTGCTTAAAATTTAAAATACGAGAAATAAAAAAATATGTATTTTATTCTGGTATATAATTGCATGATATCAAGAAAGCCAATTAGGGGAAACTAGGACAACAATTAAAACTGATAAGTTAAGTCTGAAGTCTTTAAGTCAATGGGAATAGTTAAGACAAAGTATTAACAGGTGGGTATTTTAAAGGAAGTATTAATAAATCCAGGGTAGTTAGAAATTTTACTTGGCAAAAATCTGAAGCAAAAAAATATATTAATAAGCATAGTACTTCGAAATCAGTTTGGTAAATTGGCATAGACTCCCCAAGGACCTGTGGCCCCTGCATGTTTAAGGAAAAACAAAAAATGTATTTATAATCTTATATATATATATAATTGTGGGCAATGGAATTTGCTAACCTGAAATAGGTTTGTTTTAAGAAAAGTGAGTCATAAAGTGGTTTTTAAATATTTATTCTAGATCTGATTGCCATATGCCATAGCAAAAAAAATTGTTTTAATAAGTACCTGCTTCTAAATGTTTTTTTTTTTTTTTCTTAGTTGTCAAGTTAGAATTAATTACTCGTGTGCTTTCCAGCGTGTATACCTAGAATAGAATTTTGGAGCTATAGAAGATTTTAGAGCAGTGGTTCTTCACCATAGTGGGGGTCATTGGCCCTTGGAGAATGTTGTAGAAAGTATGGACCTTAGTTCTAGGAAAAAAAGCACACAACAAAAAAATACAGTAAAGTTCAGCATGCATTTTCAATGATGTTTATGTCATAGGTACTAAACTTAAGTACCTTTGGGCTTCTGGCTAAGTCAATTTCTGAGGAAGATGTATGACTGATTTTGTTGTACAGATGAAGAAACATGGAATTTTGTCCCGTTGTGACAGATAGACATTTTGTTAGCTGACAGGTGTCTTCTCTTCAAGTTATTTTCCCAGCAGAGTAAAAAGTTCATGAAAAGAAAAGGAGACCTTTGCAAAGCTCTGCTTTTTGGTGAAATCCAAGCTGAAGTTAAGCACAGTTTGAGTTTTGGAAGCCAGAATTAATCTTAATCAACAGGAGGCTTTTGAGACCTCTTACTAAAGTGAAGGACCAGACATTTACACAGAAAGGCCCCTAGAGTTTCAAAGTTTTTTAGTGAGAGAATTGAATGGCATCATTATTAAATATAACTCCTACTATAAACACTGGAAGCCATTTTTAAGTAGGGTTCTAAGTGCAGTATTTTACATGGCATCTCAGTTTCATAAGTAAAACCACAATTCTGATATGTTAGCCTTGTGCTTGGGAAATTATATATATTTTAATAGGGTCTCTGTGTTTGATGATTATGGTTAAATAGTATCAGGAGTGCTAATGTGGTTTTTAATCCATCCGTATTTTACTCTGTAGCTCACCTTATCAAGTAGAGTCAATCTTGAGGTTGAAAGAGAACCTCAGAGGTTCTGAAGTCCATGCATGCCTCATTGTCATTTCATTGTAAAGAAAGGAGGACTGGATTTGTCAGCATGCTTTGAAAACCCATTTTTTATTAAACCAGCAGCTTTGACTACTTAAGAGGTTAGGCTGATGATGTCCTTGCCCACCTCAGATTAGACCCCATAAAACATTTGGCATTAGAGGAGCAGTTTGATGTCACCACCTATGTTTAACTAACAGACATGTAAGGTCTTTGCCAGACCTTATATGGTACTGTAGTCGGTTTGCTCTTACAGAATCAAAAAGAATTTGACTGTCTTCTTGTTTGTAGAGTTTAGAGTTTTCTATAAGAGTTTACCTGATTTTGATTTGTTGTTCCTTTTGCTAAAAAGAAATTTATATTTTCCTTGGCTTGCCCTGGGGAGGAAAATAAAGCTGGATGAGAGAGAACCTGTGCCCTAAAGGGAAACATGATGAAACCTTAGTCCCAGTTCTTTTTCCCCCACCCTATTCCAGGGAGGCCATAGCCTAGGCCCTAGACAGTTGGACTAATAAGTCTACATGTTCTAAATAGCACAGGCATTGTTTAACTTAGCGACAGTGCTGGGCCTATATCCCACACCATAGAGTGTCACATTCGCTGCTTCTCTGACATATGCTATCTCAGTTGGATCTCAAAAGTACCTTGTAGGCTGGGTTTCCTGGCAGGTATTATCACCATTTTACAGGTGAAATGAACTACTAAAGTGCAGACAGGTGGCAAGTATGCAGCCATGAATGGTGTCAGAGTCAAGTTTTAAGTCCCATAACTCCACCACTTTAAAGCTTGGTTTTCCATAACTCCCTGCATGCTTGGTTCAGTGGGTAAACTCCTGCCCTTGCTAGTGCTGTAGAGCTTATTCTATTACCTGAGACATGATGTAAGTTTCTTTAGGGCTAGGAAAGAGAATATGTTGACACTCTAGCCAGTAGCGTGTCATTGTTGAGGACATGCTATCTAGCACAAAAACATTAGGACAAGTTCCATATTTAGTGTTCACATAGCAACACTGAAGAATTGTCTTTAAATAGAGCTATGCTTGTTTGTAACCTTGTACCTTTTCTCTCTCTCTCTCATCAGAATTCTCTTGACATTTGTGTCAATATTTTCCCTGTATTCTGTTCATCTCCTTTTGAAGACTGCCAATGAAGGAGGTATGGTAGCATTCTTGGTATTTCGGAAACAATTATGCCTGTGTGATTTTTGCTCTCCCGTATAAAGTACTTGCCTCACGCTGCCGCGTTCTTTAAATTACAGGGTCTTTATCATATGAACAGTTGGGACACAAAGCATTTGGAATGGCTGGAAAGCTTGCAGCTTCTGGATCGATTACAATGCAAAATATTGGAGGTAAGAATTTTTTAAAAGATGATTTTGGGTAGACTTTGCTTTGTGTAGCAGAGTGGTGACACGCTACTTTTGGTGTCACGTGCCACATTTTGCACTTGTAATGGTATAATTTCTTTCCCTCCAGCTATGTCAAGCTACCTCTTCATAGTGAAATATGAGTTACCTTTGGTGATCAAGGCATTAATGAACATTGAAGATACAACTGGGTAGGTGCTAAGTAAGGTTACTCATAAGAAACAATTGTAGTCTAAAATAGTTAGATACATTTTATCAGAGTTAGGTACAAAATTATTATCAGTAAATTATTGTAAATGTTATTGTTGAAACGGAGAACTTTTGAGAATGAAAAGCCAAAGACGGTGGCTAGTCCTGTAACTCTGAATGACGTAAGTTCTAACCTACATGTAGAAACAGGTTTTCTAAACTTTCCTCTTTATAGTTAACTCTTTAGAAATTATAGCTGAGTAGCACCCCAACCTATGTCAGGACTACAACTTTGAATTGTGTTTAAAAACCAACTCCTATCTGCTTTTTCTAAATTAGAAATTCTTAAAACTTAAATCTTTTTTAACTTTGTAATACCAGAAATATATGACCATGATGTAGACATTTTATCCTTCTAGCAAAGTTACTCATCCCAGACTACTTACATGTTTTTATCTAAACTAAACATGGGGGAGATAATTTACTTCCCCACTTATATGCAGCCTTTGAGCTCAAAATCCAGATGTGTTGTGGTAATCTTCATGCTTTAGAAGTTTATCTTAGTAACCTGATCTATAGATACTAGTTTTCTGTTGGATCTTTGTTGCTGAAGCGAGTGGAGCAGAATTCACAGGGCAATTAGAATTTGAAATAGTGATTTAAAAGAGAGGGTATAGTTGATTAAGGAAAAAATATTGCTAGAACTCTTAGGACGCCTGGGTAGTATTTTCTCTTAACTTCAGAAGGGATCTTTTGATTATTTTTAGATTTAAGTTGGATCGAGTTATTAAAATATACTCTTGACAACCTGGAATATAAGTCCTGGTTTGGGGATTGGTTTTTGTCTGTTTTGTTTTTGCCTATGTGTTTTGTCTATGTATGAAAAAATTTCTTTGTTGAAGTATTTCATATGTACGTTTGCTAACAAATTTCTGAAAATAGCTTATTTTAAAATTTCCTTGTTTCTAGCATTACAAATTACAAGCCAAAGCTATGACAAAGTTTGGTGTACAGTTTTTCTAAAAATGCTTCAAGATAAGATTACTGGCTTAACAGTGCCTCTTTGTGTTCTCTATATTAGTAGCAAGCATTTAAGAAGTGTTTTATGTTATGAATCAACTGGCAGCCTTCCCAGAGCAAACAGTGGGACAAAAGTTATACTGTTTCATGCCCCATTCCTAACCTGAGTGAACATTCATCTAGCACCAAAGTTGGAGATATTTACTCCTGTTCATAGGCTTTTTGAATAAGCGATACTTCCAAACCTACCTTTTTTGTGTATGTTTTTATAGTACTTATATAAAATGAGTCCTGTGAGATGATGTGTATACTCTGAGAATATTTGTGGCTGGTTTTGACCTTGTTTTTCTTTTCGATTCAGACAGTGGTATCTGAACGGGGACTATTTGGTTCTCCTGGTGTCGTTGCTGCTCATTCTTCCTTTATCACTGCTGAAAAATTTAGGTGAGCAAACCCATCTCTACAAGCCAAAGAGGCTAGAAATGACCCTTTCACTAGCTAATTGGCTTTCTCTTACTAGACATTGAGAGATAAAAAGCTCTAAAAACATATCTTTAGGAGTTGTAGCATGCAAACCTCTTTAGGTCTTTCACAATCCTAGCATGATCACCACCAGGGCACTAAAATATGGTATTGACATTTTATAATATCTTGTACTTTGTAAATAATAATTATAGGAAACGAATGAAAGTTTCTGTTTTAGTTATTAGCAACTATTTTTAACTAATTCTGTGGCTTAGTATGTAAGAATTAGAAACTTAATATTGTGGCCATATTGAAGTCTTCCAAGCAGAATTGAGTTATTTTATTTAGTAGAAGAAATATATTTGCCCTAAACCTATTTCATTAAATTAACATTTATCTCCCCCTGCCAGGATATTTGGGATATACCAGTGGCCTTTCCTTGCTGTGTATGCTGTTCTTTCTGATTGTGGTAGGTATAACTTCTTTAAAGCTAGAAAAAAATTTTTATATGCCCTGTCACATCATTCAGTTTAACAAATGAAAAATAATATATTTTCAGGTGATTTGCAAGAAATTTGAGATTGCTTGTCCTTTTGAAGATACAATAAGCATAAACAGCACCTTCATAGATCCAACAGCTTTAGTACCTCATATGGCATTTAACACGACTGATGATGGTTCTTGCAGACCGCATTATTTTTTCTTCAACTCACAGGTAACTAAATATAATCTTCATTTTCTGAAAGGAAAATTTTAGGGAAGAAAAGGGGGAAACTTTAAAGTAACTCCCAGGGTAAAGGAAGAGGGTGAAGAGCTGCTCTTTAGGGGGGAAAAATGATTAGCTTATTACTGAGGACTGAGAAGAAAGCATTGGTTTTGTGTCTTAAAGTAGATTAAGAAATGAGCCCTAGCAGGTTTGGCTCAGTGGATAGAGTGTCAGCTTGCGGAGTAAAGGGTCCCGGTTTGATTCCAACCAAGGGCACAGGTCTGAGTGCAGGCTCAATCCCCTATAGTGGGCATGCAGGAAGCAGCCAATTATTGATTCTCTCTCATCATCAATGTTTCTATCTTTCTCTCTGAAATCAATAAAAAAAATTTTTTTTAATGAAATATGTTACATTAATAATTGAAACATTCAGAAATTAGGACGCTAATTACACATCGTGAACAAATTAGAAGATTGGAATTTAATTATGTAAGGAAAACTATTGTAGGTTTTGATTATAACATTAGTTGATATAAAATATAAGTTGCACAACTGATAAGACATGAGTTTGTTACATTGGGATATTGAGTGCATTTTTATATCTTTTTACAGACTGTGTATGCTGTCCCAATTCTGACTTTTTCATTTGTTTGTCATCCTGCTATTCTTCCCATTTATGAAGAGCTGAAAGAGTGAGTGCTATACCTATTTTAATGTAGGTTTATTGGGAAAAAATTATGTGATTACTGCTATAACTACTGCTAATAAATGTTTTTGTGTTTTCTTTGAATTTACATAGCCGCAGCCGTAGAAGGATGATGAATGTATCCAAGATTTCATTTTTTGCTATGTTTCTCATGTACCTGTTTGCTGCCCTTTTTGGATACTTGACATTTTATGGTAAATAATGTCGGTGTTTTTTTGTTTGTTTGTTTTTGAATCACATTGTGAGATGAAATTGATATTTTAATACCTATAATTCTATTTAAAATTCAACCTGTTTTAGTATATTTCATTTGTGATAAGAAATTAAATTTAGAGCTTAGAATTTCCTATGGTATATTTAATCAGTAATTTTTAGAATCCGAGTTCAAAAGTATACCATTAGTCATTTGATGCCATTTTTTATATGACATACTTCTATCAGCATTCATCCTACCTTTTTCTTCCCATCACTTTCAAATTATACAACACATGCAAACTGTAAGCCAGATCATGGGATTTAGCTGTTTAGCTCCTGTTGTTTTTAATGGGGGTCATGTGGCTAAATCTCTACTTGGTATTTAGAAAAATTTTCCTTCAATGTTATTTTAATTGCATTAACCCTAATTCTAAATTAATCTTATTAGCCTCTTAGTTGGTAGTTATTTTGTGAGTGACTAGTAATAACTTAGTAAATTTTTTTGCTACAAGTTAGATTTTTCTACCTAATCTCCAGAGAAAACAGCACACTTAAAGTTTTGCTTTTGTCTTTTTGTCTGTCTCCACAGATAAAGTTGAGTCCGAATTGCTTCATACATACTCGAAAGTCTTAGGAGCTGATATCCTTCTTCTCATTGTCCGTCTGGCTGTGTTAATGGCTGTCACCCTGACTGTTCCAGTGGTTATTTTCCCAGTAAGTAAATCACTTGCTCTTTTTTTCTGGAGGAATGAGTTTAAATGTGAAGATTTGTGAGATTTTTATCTTCTGGGAGAAGGGAAACTCCACTAGAGCAAAGTTGAATTGATGGTTGTATTGAGGGGTCTTTTTAAAATGCTTAGTAAATTTTTAAAACATTCCAGGGCATGTTTTTCATAATTGAAGGTGTTAAACGATCTTTCAATGTTCATAAAACAGCAGTAGAGGAAGGGGCACAATTTTATTTAAATAGCTGCTTGTTTTAAATAGGTTTTCTATTTTGGTTTTTATTAACTAAAGCTGAAACTTTATCTGTTTGTTTATTTTTGCAGATCCGGAGTTCCATAACTCAGTTGTTTTGTCCAAAAAAAGATTTCACTTGGTGGCGTCATGGTCTCATTACAGTATCGATCTTGGCATTTACCAATCTGCTTGTCATCTTTGTCCCAACTATTAGAGATATCTTTGGTTTCATTGGTAAGTTTTAGAAAATATCAAGCTTGATTTAAGTATCAGGAATTTAAGGTTTAAACAATGGGTGATAAGTGGCTTATTGATCTCTCAAGAAATGGTCAATGTTCTTTTGCAGGTGCATCTGCAGCTGCTATGTTGATTTTTATTCTTCCGTCTGCCTTCTATATCAAGTTAGTTAAGAAAGAGTCCATGAAGTCTGTGCAAAAGATTGGGGTGAGTAAGAGATTATGGTTCTAGAAACTAATAATCTTCCAATAACAAATTCCTCAACTGATTTTAATTTTAGTCTCTTAGCTATCATTCATTACAGTTTCACTTTTATGTTTCTAGTACATGTTCCTATAACAGTGTGCTTCACAGTTGAAAGATTCAGAGCAAGGAGGTGAAAGACAGTTTGCCTTCTAATACATGCTTAATTTAATTGCAAGAAAGTTATTAGATATTAGAGAGATGGAGTATAAAGTGTAAAGAGATTTAGCGTTCAGCACTTGTTGAACCAGTATGTGGGGGGCTGCCTGTTGTGTGACAGGCACTTAAATGGGCCTTGAGAATATGAAAGGGAAAAAGATGGGTTGTTTAGTCGAGCAAGAAAAACCATCTTCAAAGCAAAGTTTGGGGTGAGACTGTTTGTAATAACTAATTTTTCAAAGGGTATGATATAGTATTAAGTACCTTATTTCCTGGCGTATAAGACGACTTTTGAAACGAAAAAAAGCCTGCTCAGATTGGCCAGAGTCAAAGAGGTGGTCTATTAAAACAAGAACTGGTGTTGCCTCGGAAGTGGGGGGTAGTCTTATACAGCGAATATAGGCCTAAACCTATGTTTTAACTGTAAAATTAGGGGGTCGTCTTACACGTCGGAAAATACGGTAAATGATTCTAGTGGGTCTGTTTAGGAAAAAAAGACTGCTTTTCAATTTTTATTCTCTACTACCATTCTAATCTGATTAAAGGACTGGAATTGCTTGAGCCAACAACTGTCATCTTGTTTACCCCAAGTATATAGTGGCAGTGATTAAAGGTAGGATTAGAAGTCAACTTCTGTCCATCAGAAAGACCTGGCCTTGACTCGGGCTGCATTTTAGGATGACTTGGGTTTGTTTTCGTGACCTCAATTTTTGCTTTGAAAAGATCCAGCCCAGTGCTGCTTTATGAAGTAGTTTATTCAGCAAAGAAAATGATTTGTCTTTTCATTCGAGAGAAAGAAACTTAATGGTGAAATTTTGGAAGGTTTCAGAGAGAGTTATTTTAGAAGACTCTTGGATTACTTCAGACCATTTAAATATCTTCAGCGAGGGGGAACTGTAGTTGTGTAAAATATTGCCGTAATTTTAGTAACGACGAGCCCGTTTTTCAAAGTAGAAAGGGAATGTTGAACGGAACATGTTTTGATGCTTGCTGACCAGTGTTCTCTCTGCTCATTGCAGGCTTTGTTCTTCCTGTTGAGTGGCTTTGTGGTGATGATCGGAAGCATGGTGTTGATTATCCTGGATTGGGTACACAATGCCCATTAACTGGCACTACCAAAACTTCAGTTGTCCATTTGATGCCAGTGTTGAGTCAACTCTCAACTGCTATGAAATTTCACCTGATGTTTTCAGTTTCACTTCCTTTTGAAGTGCAGATTCCTCGCTGGTTCTTCTGAGTGCAGAATAAGTGAACTCTTTTTTTTGTTTGTTTGTTTTTTTATTTTTTATTTTTTTATTTTTTTAAAGGAACTATTCTGTATGATAGAAATGGACATTAACAACAAAACCACGAGTCTCGGGTTAATGGAAGTGACAATTTTATTCCATTCCAGAGAATGGACGAACTCTTAACTTTTATCAAGCCACATGTTTGGCTGTGTCATTGTTTAAACTTGGATATTTTATGGTTTTACTTGAATGTGCCTAATGGAACCATTTGATGTGAGAAACAATTCTTAATTTACAGCAAAGTATTGAAATAACCATTGAGAAAAACACTATTATTTTTTGTACCAAAAATATTTAAAGACCTCAGAAGCACTATTTTACTTTAAAAAAAAAAAAAAAATGCTTTTTTTGAACATTGTCCAAAAACAGTTGTCAGTAAATTCCGTAAAAAAAATTTTAATTGTTTAAAAACAAATGTAAGTATTATGAAATGAATTGCCTTTTTGTAGGCATAATAAGCCAAATATGTTTTTTATCCAAAATGATTTTTAGAAAAAAATGATGTAATGAAAAATTGTACTATGAGTAGGAGCATAGTTTTTTTCCATTCAGACTTCACCATTTAAGGATAATTGATTGCCTATTATACCAAATCAGATGAACCCTGTTCATCATTTTTCTTCTCTGTTCCCAAATAATTTAGTTCATTCAGATAAATATTTATGGCTTCAGTCTATTAGAATGGAAGATAATGCAGATATTTCTGTGGGGAGTAAAATAACTAATTTTGAGGTACCAAATAGTGCAATTGGGTAAAACAGGGTTTATTCAGTTGCATCTGTTTCCAGAGTTGGGTTGACAGCTCTGGGTTTTTTGGGCCAGCCCTTTTTTAACTGCTTCCAGCAGTGGAAAATGGGCATTTGATGGCAATAAGGCCAAAACTATTCTAACCAGAGTACAACTTTTCAAAAATGCTCATCTACTACTGGAAGTGTGAATTACTTGATACTGTATGGCTTAGTCATGTTCATGTTTCGTCTGCAGTTGAGGTCTAATCTACAGTTTACACCGGTATTTGGAATAATGTAAGTTCTCTTTAAATAGGCCACTGGGTTTCATGCAGTAAGCTTTCTAAAAAACTTACTTGCACTGGACTGTCATCTCATTCTTGTACAACACAGAATTATTTGTTTACATCCAACAAATGGTTAGCTAGGGGAAACAGTGCAACCTGGGTGTAAGTTAGTTGGTACAACTGCATGTTCACCCTTCCACATAAATTCCAGTTAGAACTGAAAACAAAACAAAACAAAAAAAAAACTAGTTGGCTTTTAAGAGCACATTTATTGTATGTTACGGTGTATGGTGAATATATTATTAAATAATGTGGTACTTTGCTCATCAGGCATAATGTCTAAAATCTATTATACATAATTCCATTAGTGGTTGAGGGAAGCAAATAATGGAATCATCGATTGGTCATCTGGCTGTTAAGGTTTTCTCTTGAACTAAACATTTTTTTAGTTCTAAGCAAGGGCCAGAAATGGGGCAGACATGGTTTTTGTTACACATTCTTGTATTATATGTGACTAGCTTATAGATCAGATATGTCTGTACTTAAAAAGACCCTTGTGGAACTGGAAGACGTCTTGTAGTGCTACTTTGGTGAAACCAATGGTCCATTTGTGTTTGTTTCTACAAAAATAACTGGGGACCGCCTAGAAAGGCAGTGAGAAGACAGATTCTACAGCACTGCTTTCATTTACGGTAATTGGGCTTTGGTACTCCCTTCGAATCCAGAACCTCGCCTTTATTTCAAGACCAAGAATTGGCACTTCTGCTGGAGTTCCTGAGAAAATACCAAGTAAAGGTTTATGTCCTTTCCTGGGAAGGAAATATAATCCATCAACCAGGAAAGAATGGGAAAAAAGTCCTCATAGCTAATCAGTGTGGGGAGACATCCACTCTTCTTTGTCTGTTGGAGGTTCAAAATCAGTTGCTGAGGATTAATTCCATTGCATGATCTTGGAGCTCTCTTGTCTGTCGTGAGGTTCCTGAACAGTGAATTCCCATTAATAAGCAGTCTTCAGTATTAAAACCACTGTCTTGTCACCTCATTTTGCATTACTGTCTTCCTTGGATGTTTCAGTTATAACTGTAATGTTATTTATAGAACAGCAGTAATCCATTAAAGCTAACCTATTTTTCAATATTTATGATAATCTATGTACATACATTGTCTGTCCATATGTATTTGTAAATAGTGTTGTATATAATTCCATGGGTCAGGTTTGGGTCTTGGGTTCAAATGTATATATTCCTGTAACTTTCTTAACTGCATTTTGATGAATTCACATTATGTATATCTAAGAATTGTCCCAAAATTACCTGTACAGAGATGTCAATATAAACAAATTGATAAATTGTGTAAACACTAAAAATTTTAAATATCATTTAAATTGTATTTGCAATAAACAGACTGGTTAACCATTTTTTTTTTTCATGAAAACTTGGTGCAAATTTAGATCTCTTATTTAAATTTTAAAAAGATCTAAATTTTCAAAATGCAGTAGTTATCAAAATGTGATCTAGTGTAATGAAATCAAATGTGATCTAGTATAAGGAAAGACCTTTGAGAACCTACATGTGTTAATCTTATGTATATAGTGTAAAAAACCCCTTGTACTGTTAGAGGCCAACAATTCCAGTATGACTTGTTGGCAAAGAGTGCTACACCGTTTCAATGAAACAATGTATGTTTTAACTGAACTAAAATAAATACATGCTTAATCCTGAGTAGCAGTGTTTTCTTTGGGTTAATGGGATCAACAGTGTCTGATGTATTTTGTAAGGACAACACCTAGCATATAGGTCCATATTTGATTATATGATTTGATCATAATTTGATTATGAAGGGGAAAAAAATGGTGAGGGAAAAAGGTCTGCTTTTTAAGTTCCTGAAAGATTGTAAATTGACAGTGAGTAGGAAACAAAAACAAAAAACAACACTGAAAGTCATCTCAAGGACCCAGGTTTGAACCTGCTGCAAGTAGGCCAATAGTGCATCAGGAGGAGCTTTAGAATAGCTTTCTGAAACAAATGCCTTTCAATAGGATTCCATAGGTCTGGAGGGCTTCCCACAATCCCTACCCCTGCCCCCCACTTCTCAGAAAGCTACCCAGGTGATACCTGATGCACAGTGTAAGGGGTGCTGAAACTACCTTGGAAGAAGTCAGATTAGTTCTACTTTGGTGAATTAGGAGAGGCAGTGCTGGGGAGGACTGAGAAAGACAAACTGGTGGGTATGTAGATGCACCTTAGTGACACCTAGTGAAGAGGCTTACAGCATAGTTTAGGACCTATTTAGGGCTCCTAAAGTGAGCTGTCCACAGTGGAAACAAAACCACAGACAGCAGGTGAGCTTGGGAGTGGTTCCAAAGGCGGGGGATTCTGTAAGAAACACCCCTGATTAACCTTGGTCAAGTGGGAGGAAACTTGTGGTTAGAAAGTGCAGCAGGATTTGAGCCACAAAGTTACTCATCTGAAAAACTGAAGACCTACCATGTGCAACTAAGATGCCCATGGGAGAGAGGGTAGGGTTATGTCAGACTTTTTTTCTTCTTCTTAATTTTATTTTTAATATGTTTTTTATTTTTAGAGAGAGAAAGGGTGGGATAGAGAGAAAAATCAATGAGAGAAGCACCATTGATTGGCTGCTTCCTGTACTCCCCTTCCTGGGGATCCAGCCCACAACCTGCCTGGGAATTGAACTGGTGACTCTTGGTGAATGGTGCTAGCCCAACCAATTGAGCCACATTGGCTGGGCCAGACTTGGGTTTTAATAGAATCTGTACACTTTCAATTAAACAATTTTTTAAAAATGATACCAAAATGAACCAGAAGGCCAGTTTATTAATCTAAACATAGAAATACATTTAATGAGTAAGTCCACTGAGAAGATCAAAATACAGTTCTATAGCCAGGCAGCCAGCTATACCCAAGAAATTTCAGTAAGCCTGAGGAATGATCTGGAAAGATTTCTAACTAAACCAGAGCTGTTTGTCTTGACTGGAAGTACTCTTACCTGGAAAATTGGCTTACTTAAATTTCTGGTAACAAAATAAAGAAAATCCATTTAAATTAGCTAATGCAAAAGTGGTGGCAGATGGAGAGAACTTCTTAGGAGATTGGGGTACTTCTGAGAAAAGTTAAACAGTCTTCCAAAAGATCAAACACTAGATGTGTTCTAGAAACTTCATTATAGAACTATACAGTTCGATTCTGAGCAATTTCCTCAGCCAACTTCTCAAAATAAATATTGGCTAATAATGAGTGTTGATTATTAATTAATTAATTAATTACTTTTTAATTCTCACCTGAGATTACGTTCTCCATTGATTTCTAGAAAGAATGTGAAAGGCAAGGAAGAGGGGAACAGAGAGAAACATTGACTTGAGATAGATATATCGATTGGTTGCCTCCCACTTGTGCCCAGGGAACCCACAACCAAGGTACGTGCCCTTGTCCAGGAATCAAACCTGAGACCCATCAGTCCTTGGGCTGATGCTCACTGAACAATTGGCCAGGGCAGGTGCTGATTTTCTATATAGCCAGGTGGACATGGCTGCTAGGACCTTCCCCAGAGATTGAGAGAAGAGTTCTCAGAGGAGGAGTGAAATAGTCATGGGCTGCAAATTTGGTCATCAGCCTTGGCCAGTGTAACTAGGTGGTTTAGAGTCATGGGTTTGATTCCCAGTCAAGGGCACATACTTGGGTGTTGGGTTTGAGTTCCAGCCCCAGTTGGCATGTGGGAGGTAACCAATGGATGTGTCTCTCTCCTCCGCCTCCCTCCCTCTCTTTTACTCTCTCTAAAAATCAATGGAAATGTCATCAGGTGAGGATTAACAACAATAAAAAATTGGGTCCCCAGCTATTGCAGTTTTAGCACTGGAAATGCATCCTGGGAAACCCTTAAATCCAACCAATCTCGGGTAGTTGGTCACCTCAGTTATGAAGGCACACACACAACAAGCCTAATGAAATAGCCTAGAGATAACAATACATTCAATTACTTTTGGATTTCCCTTTTCTAGACATCCAGGTAGAACACCAGTCTTCTTTCATGTTGCCCCAACTCAGTGGATTATAGCTTCCTCAAATCACTGTTTTTTCTGTTCCCCCTCGCCCTCACCAGAGTTGTAAGCTTTGCAAGAGCAGGCATCTGTCTTTTCACTAATTTATCCCCAACAGTCATAACAGTGTCTAGCAGAGAGTACATAAATCCTCAATGTCATTTGTTGAGTGAATAAATATGCCCTGCATTTCCTATAACATGGTTGAGAGGAGGCTCAACATTTTAAACAAGAATTTACTAAACGCTTACAAAAGAAATACAACAAATATCATGATCTTAGCACTGACTTATATTAGCACCAGAGGCCTACTACCTACAAGAGAGAGGCTTTCTTGCCCAGCTTCTGATCTGCCTCCAGGTGGCAGAAGCCATCTTTAGCCTCTACCATGCATGTACGTGATTTTATAGTTGTGAAATCCTTTTTCTAATCCTAGCCCCAGATTTGGTGTCCTCCACATATAGTGAGGACAAACACTGACACGGCAAGTCTGGTGGCTTACTACTTCTGTCTGCAAGGGAACCATGAGGGAAGCTTGGCACATTCCTGGGAATGTGGTCTTTAGAATGCTTTTCATGTTCGTGATTGACGGTTTTGTTATACACATCTGAAGCAACGGACCGTGCGAGGCTGGCTTTGGAGCTTGCCTTACACAAACGCCAAGATTAATGATGTGTACCTGGTTTCATTGTCTGGGTCCTTTGTTTTGGTTGCCAAGGCTGGCTCCAAAACAGAATGTGTCTATGTGACCGACCCCACTAAAAGCTTTGGACCTTACACCTCATTTAGCCTTCCCTGGGCAGACATTCCACAGGGGTCCACTGCTAGAAAAAGAACATACCTTTGTGGAAGCCTCCAGAAGCCTTGCTGGACCTCTCTGGACTCCATCATTGCATATCTTTTTCCTTTGTGCTCTGTCTCTTTGGCTGTAATAAATTTTAGCAGCACTTATTACCTGCTATTGAGTCTGGAGAGCCATTCTGGTGAAACATGTAATGTTTCTGTTTTACTTTACATCATCAGTTTGTAAACCTTACAAAAGAAATACAACAGCCAAAACCGGTTTGGCTCAGTGGATAGAGCATCTGCCTGCGGACTGAGAGGTCCCAGGTCGATTCCGGGCAAGGGCATGTACCTTGGTTGTGGGCACATTCCCAATAGGGGGTGTGCAAGAGGCAGCTGATCGGTGACTCTCTCTCATCGATGTTTCTAACTCTATATCCCTCTCTCTTCCTCTCTGTAAAAAAATCAATTAAAAATATATATATAAAGAAAGAAATATAACAAATACCATGCTTTCACCAGGAAGAATCTATTCATGACTAAAGTCCTTAAAGCATTACTGTATTGAGCACATTTTACTAAATATTGTCTTGGGTGTGAAGGTTAGAAGGGTTAAATAGCAACGATAATTTTTTTATACTGCACATCCCACAAGGTTCAACTTCATAAACTCTCATTTGGCTGTGCGGTGAACTAAGGAGTCCCACTGTCCCCCCTTCCATACCCTACACAGCCTATCCCCTATCTTCATGATTTAGTTCAACTCTGTCCTCACATCTGCCTGTCCTTCTTAAGTAAAAAAATGTAGTCAAGTCATCAGGTCTCACTTTCTTGAGATGGCATTTTACTGGCCATTTATTTCCACTTCATTGTTGCTTTTGAGGATCTCACGTCTACTCCCACTCTCCCAAAAGGACTTAATCTTAGTATTCTTTCTTACTACTTCCAGTACTTGCCCTGAAAAGAGTTCTGGAAAGTTCAGCTTTTTCATTTGATTATGTTAAAAATATCTGCCCCTAGAGCACAGTCTGTAAAGAAGATAGAAACAAAGCTTTGTGGTTAAAACGGTGAGGGGTGAGGTCTAGAGCTGAAGAGCTAATCCCCACAACCTCTCTCCACCTGCCTCATCTCCCCACCATGGCCCACGAGATGCTGCCTTAAACTAGGGCCCCCTGCATCATGGTTTGAATTCTTCCAGGAGATTAAGACCCCACGTTAACCACCATCCCGAGCCACCATTTTCTGGGAGCAGCCTCTTTCTCCCTCTATTGACAGAACAGTGTGCCCTTGATCCCCTGTCTCTGACCCAGTCACCTGTGGGCCAGTACAACCAAAAAACCTCAAGATTGGCACTCAGGTCACATAGAAGTAAAGTCTCCTTGCATGTGAATGTATTGGTAAGGAGATAATCAAGTCCTTCTGGGTATCTCTAAGGTAGAGTGGGTAAATACACACTCATATTGAAAAATTCATTTCTTGTCCCTTCATCAACAATGAAGTCATTGCTGAGAATTGCCTTCAGTTTCTGCTGAAAGAAAGTGTACTGTTTATAAATAGGTAGGGGAGTAAACCTTAAAAAAAAAGAATGACCTTTGGTTAAATCTGGTTCTGGGGGTCTTTACTTGGATCATTATTATTTTTTTAAAAGTTTATAGTTTATTAGTTCTCTCGCAAAAAAATCTGCACAACCATCACAGATAGTCACCGAAGAATCTTTACTCCTTCTGTTGTTCAATCTCCAGCTCACTTTTTGCCAGCACCAACATTGGCCTTAGCAATCCCCCTGACTTTCTTCAACCTGTTCTTGCGTTCCTTTCTATGTTTTCTTGAGGTCTTCTTCTTCTCATATAGGCCATGTCATGCAAGTCTGTGTTTGGGTTC